GGGGAGTGGGGTCTAGTGGTTAGAGCCCGGGGAGGAGTGTGAGATCTCCTGGGTTCTAGTCCCCGTTCTGGAAGGAGATGTGCTCTAGCAGCAAGAACAGAGGACTGGACTCAGGACTCCTGGGTCCCCTCTGTGGCTCTGTCACAGGGTGAGCAGCGGGCGTTCTCCACTCAGGCTGTGCCAGGGAAGGTGAAGCTATCCAGCGCCGCCGGGCTGACGCTGAGCCGAGCATGTGTCCGGCAGTGGAATCCGGTGCGCATTGTCGCTCGTTGCTCTCTTGTGCCATGCTGCTGCGGTTGGTCTGTGCGGTACCAGCTGGGTTAGCTGAGCTCTGGAGCACAGCCTGGCCTCCTCACAACCCCAGTGAGCACCCTGGGGTGCTCCCAAGCGCTGCAAGTCCAAGGGCTTGGGAGTCTCCATCCTCGTCCTGTCTGTTATGAAGGAAGCTGTTAGCCCCAATCTGAAAAAACTTTCCTGGATTTTCCCAGCCAACTCCACAGCCCACACCGAAAGGAAAGGTGGACCAGCGGTGGGGCACATGCATAACCTGGGTTCAATGCCCTGCTCTGGCAGCCTCACTGGGTGACTATGGGCACGTCACTTAGTGTCTTTGTGCCTCAGTTTCCCTTCTGTGCATCAATGGGGCCAGATAAGGGTTAAACCCTAGACAGATCGATCCAGCCCATTGTCCCTGGGAATGCTGTGAGGTCTCGACATCATGACATCGTTCTCCTACGTCAGATGTGCTATGACATCACCAGAGGCGGCGCCCGAACGTGAGGGCGAAGGCGTGTGCGAGGTCAGAAATGGCGTGCGTGTCACGCATGATGTGGGGTGCAATGCCGTGACGTCGTGGCTTTCCGTTGGGCCGTACCCCCCCCATGATGTCATGGCGTGTGCTGGTGACATCACAGCGCGGTGCAGGGATGTTCCCACGGCCATTTTGGATGGGGTAATGAGGTGAGGTGTGTGAAATGAGATTAATGGGGGGGGGGGTCTGCGCCGTCCCATGGTAACCATAGTAACCACAGCCATCCCAGCCCCGTTGCCTAGTAACCATAGCAACCCTGGCCAGGACCCCTCTCCTTGGTAACCACCAGCCTAGCGGCCTTTTCACGACACTTCCGCGCTGCGCCGCGGTGCATTGTGGGGCTCGTAGTCCGGTCGCGGCTGGCGGGCGCGGGCGGCGCCGGGGAGCGAGGCCGGCGGGACTACAGGCCCCAGGCGCCCCGGCCCGGCGCGGCCCGGCGGACCCGTTGCATCAGCTGGCGGCGGGGAGTGTGGCCGGGCGAGGATGCGGCTCTACCTGAGCGAGGGCAGCGCCCAGGGCCTCAAGGTGGTGGCGGCGGCCGGGGCCAGCGGGGTCCGCGTGCGGCTGGAGCGGGTTCCCCCGGACGGTGAGTGGGGCGGGGACCCCCCGCGCCCCTTCCCCCCAGCGCCCCCCCGCCCCCTTCCCAACCCCCTCCCCTCGGCCCCTCCCCC